GCCGGAGCCGGCGCCCTCCGCGAGCTGGACGGGGCCGGTTCCGTTGGGTACTCAGACTCATCCCAGCCCCGCTCACATTCCCATCAGCCTGGACCGCACACTTCAGTTTAGGCCGTCATCCCACGGCGTAAGACATCGCTGGGTCTGACGAAGGTGTGAGAGTCCTCTGTCCACACACCACCAGAGAGGAACGTCGTGGGCCTGGAGCGTGTATGACGACAGACAAGCATCCCTCCATCATCGGACTCGGCCTGCGGCATGCTCAGCCTGGAACGAGGGGCTCATCCGAACCCCTCCATCCCTAAATTTGCATCCTATTGGCCCAGCAACGTCGTCAACGCAAGAAGTGGTTCTTACCCCGACTGAACAAGACAATTCTCTAGCTATTTATCCTTTCCATCTCGAGTGTGCCTGTGTGTCCCCGTGTGTCCCCCATAATTTCTAATCCGATTTCCTTTTCTCAGCACGAATTAAAATCAATATCAGTCCTATGCCTTTCTGGCTTAAACTCTTTGTCAAACAGATAAAATCATCCCAGGAACCCTTTATTCAGAAGAGATGCTCTGTGCCAAATCGCAAGGATTCATCAGGCCCCCTTCGTGCACGGCCCAGCTGGAAGTGTCCACAATTCTGACAGGGCCAAATTACGATGGCAGGGGAACCGGATGAAAGGTCGTATCTTCCAACGACACATTTATCAGCTGGCACAGGTTGTAGGGTATCACAATTACACAAGCAGTACTCGTGGAGAGGAGTGTTTATCTACCATGAAACTACAGACCATAGGAAATGATAAAGAGAGTTCTTGTCCACAACAGCCCTGTAAGGGCTTAATCTTCCCGTGTAGATGTCATCTACCCCGGGAACTCATATTTTCCATAATGCTGATGTCTCGGTGGCTTCCCTGTGGAGTGTGAGGAGTCAGTGTTTGCTAAAGTCAGAAAAAATGGAGATCTTAGTACTCTAGCCGATCGAGGATTCAAAAGAGAACTGTACAGATGAAATGCTGCCATTTGCGACAATGTGGATGGACCTCGGGATGATCACGCTAAGAGAAATAAGCCAGACTGAAAAAGTTGAAAATCGCATGATGTCACTTATATGTGAGCTCTCAACCTAAAAGTGACAAACGAACAGGACAAACAAACAGAGAGTCACGGACATGGACTATAGACTCGTGGTTACCAGAGGGGAAGGGGGAAGGGAAGAAGGGAGGTAGACGGGGGTGGGGAAGACATTAAAATGATTTATTCAATTATCTGGAGAACGCACAACTCTAAAAAAATAAAATTGTTGTTTAAATGTAAAAAAAAATTTTTTTTTAATTAAAAATAAAAAAGTAAAAAGCGTGAAAAAAAAAAATAGAACTCTACTGGGTTTATTTCCCAGGAGGCCCAACGTTAAAGATACAAAGGATGCCTCGTATCAAGCTTCACTGAACGTTATTCGTAATTATTTCGCTTCTAATTGTAGCTTCTTAAAACACACAGGCACAGATCCTGAATATATGGACTCTACATAAAATGGAGCCTGGAGAACACAGCGCTCGTGGTAACTTTCACGTGACGCTATGAAATCCAATAACTGATATCACAAATGATACAAATGACATAGGTGTCGTAAAGGCGTCCTTGCACCTCAAAATTCCCACTTCAGGGTCACCATGTGCACGCGTGCAGAGAAAAACAGAGTGGTTTCTTTCAGCTTCGGTGTTTTTCCTACCAACGAGGCACTGTTTTCAACGACTTTAGGGAAGAAAAGGCCGGCGAAGCTGCCTCTTCACGAAGCAGAATGGCCAAGGTTCGCCTGCCTTGACTGGGACTGAAGGCATCACGCCTTTTTACATGTGGCCTTGACTTGAACTAAAGGAAAACTCCTTTGCAAATAAAATTCACTTGATAAATTTACTCGTCACCATGCAGCCGTTATTCCTTTTCAGAATACCTGGATACTTCTCCATCATCATGATAATGATCGTATTATTAGCATTAGACTGGGAGGCATTCTCCTTTGGGGACACGTGGAGAAGGGGTGTCGAGACACCTGACCAATTCCTGACTCTTCTCCCAACTAACCCACACCCAGAACTGACCAGTAAGTCAGCCAAGTAGATCAGTAAGTCAGCCAAGCAGAGCCGAGAAGGCACCAAGCTCTTTATGGTCTACGACTGAGAAGATGCTTCACGAAGATCTAGCTGTGCTGTTCAGCCCCGTCTGGACCGTTACCCACGGGGCTGCGGCTGATGATGCACCGGCTTCGAGACTCTAATTCCCCAACAACAACAACAACCAAAAAAACACCTCTTTACACACTCACAAGGTCGTTTTGTAGCATGAAGAGGTGAGGTGTGCGAGACGTGCCCTAGACGATGTGTATATCTACCATGCCTGGTGTATAACTGACCAGGCTAGTTATACATGAATAGTTACACACGAATGTGCCTCAAGGCCGAGGGAAAAGGCAGGATGGCTGGAGTATCCATCATCCAGCGCCCATAAGGAGGGCTGAATGTACGCTTCATCCCTGCCTGTGAGAGGAGCAACGATTTCTCACTAATTAAAGCATATTCGGATGACCTGTTTCTTGAATTACTATACAGCTAACAACATATGGTGAGCTAATTATCTAGCTCTCTAAGAGTTCAAGCATCTCCCCGAGATAAATTTTATCCCGAAAAGAGTCAATTAGGGTGAGGGATCACGGAGTGCGTAATTATATATTGCAAACCGCCACCCTCCTCCATTTGGACGTATGCACTTGGTACCCCAGGGCCCACACCGGCTCTGGCTCAGCGGACCTCATGCGAGGGCATCGCGAACCGATGGAGCATCTTCGCCTTCTGCCCGGTCATTCACATCGTCACAACTCCAGTTAGCATCTCAAGAACCAACCCTCGAGTATAAGTCATTTCGGAAACAAGATTTAGAGAAAGAATATCAAGAGTTTAAATCATTTTCCCCGTGGGCTTTGACACGTGAACCGACCGTGTACCCAGAACAGCTTTTTAATGTTCATACATCAAAGTCAGGCACCAGATTCAACTGGGAAAACTGTGACTCGAAAAGCACTTGAATAAATTTCACAAACACTGTCGCTGCTTGCCACAATCACTTTTCCTTCTGCTGCTTCTGACCCCCTCTAAACCCATTTCTCACATGCACAGGTGGTAAGCCCTGCCTAAACGGTTCGGGATATTGTGGGCAATGAGATGACACAGAGAAACGAGTCTTCCGAAGCTCGAAAAAACCACTTTCAGAAATATGGCGATGTCACCGTTGTGATCATTCTCTGGTGACACATTGAGGCAATTCTCTCAAGATTGTTGAGTCTCATATTCTGTCAATCCCGTATCGAATGGAACACAAAACTACGATCTTATCCCAACGATGATTGTATCTGGCTGCTTTAAATCTTTGTGGCTTCGCTTAAGATATGTAGAAGATTGTTTTTGTGAATAGCTTCGTGGTATATAAACATGAGTATTTCCACTAAAATCGATCATGCATGCCTTGCTCCGAAAAGGGGAACGGCCATTTACACTGGAATCATCTATTTTGAAGAATAAACTCCTTGAGAATAACTCGAGAACCTCTAACTACGGTGTTGCCAGAACATCTTAAGTCTCTGTTCTCGAATAAAATTTCGGAAACCTCAATAAAATCAAGACAGACTGGTTGGGCTTCGATACCCTTATAATAACCAAATCTGCTTTGCCCCCTTCCCAGAGTCATATGCTGAGGAATCCATCAAGATGCCTTGTAATCCGATGAATAGTCATATACTCTATAGATACGTTTCTGTCAGAAAAACCACTTGTTGTAAAAATCGGATTCACTCTGGAAGCAGGCATTGTACTGTTAATCTCCTCCGTGTTTCTGAGGGATTTCTGGTGGGCAAAAAGCGACGTAAGGAGGTTTGGCTATTGCAGACACTTTACCAAGCAGCAGAGTGCTGTGTTTTCGCTGACGCGGATGGGTCTGCAATCCTGGGGACCCCGCTGTATGTTGGAATGGCCATTCGCTTCCTTATAAAATACAGTACGTACGTGGAACCCACAGGGAAAGAACTTTGTCAGTCATGCAGACGGTGACCCACCATTGGGTTACGACATTCATTTAGTGTCCCAACCAGATAATTTTAAAAATAAAACAGGACGCCAATAGCGAGTATCAGATGTTATTACGCCTTCGGGAAAAGGATCATCTGAGAAAGCCTGTGAAGTATCTGCGCCCATCTTTTTGGACGATAATGAAAGATACGTATCTCGGAACATTCTAAAGCTTTTGCAAGAGATCACACTTCAGTATCACCTTCTAGAGAAATCTGGGGGCATAATAACGACTGTGGAATTTGTCCCTACTGGCAAAAATATGCTCCAAATATGCTGCCGTATTTCTCAGAGGATCCTATGGTCCACGCGGTTTAGCGTCTCGTGGACCGCTTGTTAAAGCGACGATGTGTGGCCTTACTCAGGGACCGTCCACAGGCGAGACTGGCCATTTCCAGTTTCGGCAAGCGGCCGGGTCCTCCTGACACCACGTGAGGGGTCGCGCCCCGTAACTACAGTCAAGGACCTTCCCCCTCCCTTCTGACTCTGCACGTGGAGCATTACCAGGAGCGTCCTTTATGGCCATCACGTACTAAGCTACCCAAGGCAGTCCCACTACGGATGGTCTGACCCAAACACTGCGGACACCAGGGTGTGGCTGGCCACCCCCGAGCGACGCGCATCTGCACCTGGCGGGCCGGAGGTTAGGGTCGCCGAAGGCACTGCCAAATCGACAGCGTCCCACGTGCGCGTGGTAATAAAGTGGAGGTTCGCGAGACGACGATCGGCAGGTGCCTCCTTCCCTTGGTCAGGCCACTCGGCCGGCAGTGCCCGTCCCACCTCGTGCCCTTCACAGCCCGCCTCCGCAGAGCCTGGCCGCGGTCGCCATCGCACGTGGAGGGGACAGGCGGCTGCGGGCCCAGCCCGGCCCCCGCCCCGTGGCGGTACCCACCGTCGGATGAAGCGGGCCGCGTCCGCCGTCAGCCTCTGCGTCAGGTTGTCGTAGGACATGGGCTGCTGCGTGACGTTGTGGTTCGTCATGACAAAGCAGTTCAGGGGCCGGAAGTAATGCAGGAAGCCGAGCAGGACGCCGAGGATGGCGGCGGCCAGGAGGAGCAGGCACAGGAAGACGAGGCGCGGCACCTGCAGCAGCCCCAGGCACTTGAGCGCCGCGAGCGTGACAAGGGACACGGCCGTGACCTGCAGAGGCACGAGCACCAGCAGCCTGATGGCCGAGGTGAAGACGCTGCCCGCTCCGGCCTTGCAGTCTCTCAGGTTGGTCAGAGGGAGCCCGTGGAAGTAATCGAAGCCGTGGCTCAGCGGGTGGTGACAGAAGTCTCTTTTGTTGTCACAGTGCATCCCGAGGTGCCACTTCCCTGACAACACAAGCGGCCGATATGCTCAGTCCCTAAAGACACTGGGATTCGAAAGCCACCTCCCGCCGCGCACACACCGACAAGCACACGCCTCTGCCTGTGCGTCAGCCCGAGCCCAGCCCTACGGCTCTGCTGGTTTTCGCTGCGTTTTTCCATAGAAGCTACGATATGAACTCCTCACTCTACCAGGAAACGAGAAGCAGCTTATTGATCAAATAATAAAATAAAATAAAACAAAAGGTGAACACCTAACGCATGTAACGGGCCAGAGACGTAACTACACAGTAACGTGCAGCGTTTTTCTGGCATTGCTGTTTTTTAAATGCATTTCCTTAAAATTTAAGTCTTGGAGCCAATTTGATTTTGTTCCCTGAATGCTAAAAGTGGAAATGAACCCTCTCTGAAAAAATTAGCCTGTGGCACGAGGAAATCATATCCACAGCTCGGCAATTATTTTAAGCACCTGTGAACGTTTGTTATAAAATGTTAATTATAGCAGTAAATCGGGGAGCGCCTCGAAAAGGAGAAACGATCACGGTTTCATGACCAGATGTGTGAGGAACGGGAGTGCTCATGCTGCTCCTACGAGATTTTCTAGGATTCGTCCGATGACCCACACAGACACAACCTTATCAGGCAAAATGGGAGAGGGCCTCGTTCGAATCACTGGGATAAAATCGAGATGGGAATATCGACTGAGACGGATCGTGACACGATTTTAGTATTAAAATGAAAAACGAAAATCTTTATCCATAGCATGGTGTGTATATGTTTTTATATGCTCCCTGTCTGTCTATGTATGTATGCATGTATACACGCATGCATGCATGCATCCATCCATCATCTGTCTCAATCATCCATCCATCCATCTTCCATCCATCATCCACCCATCTATCATCCACCATCCATCCATCCATCCATCCATCCTCCATCCATCCATCCATCATCTGCCCCATCTATCTCAACCATCCATCCATTCATCCATCCATCCTCCATCCATCCATCCATCACCCATTTCATCTGTTGATCTACATATCCTTGTTTCCATCACCTACCTCATCTATCTTTCCATCTACCCATCCATCCAGTGATCATCTATCATCAGTCTCATCTATTGATCTATCTATCCTTGTTTCTCTATCATGTACTTATCTAGCTTATCCATCCATCCGTCATCCATCTATCATTCATCCACCCATCCATCCATCCATCTACCCATCCATCCAGCCATCATCCATCATCTGTCTCATCTATTGATCTATCTATCCTTGTTTCTCTATCACGTACTTATCTAGCTTTCCATCCATCCATCATCCATCCATCCTCCAGCCATCTAGCCATCTACCCATCCATCCACCCATCCATCCACCCATCCATCCACCCACCCATCCACCCATCCATCCATCTCCAGCATCCCTGTCTACCCTTATCTCTGTCAGTTATCTTATCTTTACATATACTCATAAGTCCATTTGCCCATCCATCTGTGTGTCTATCGCTACCATTTACCTTTCTATCTATTTATCTATCTATCTATCTATCTATCTATCTATCTATCTATCTACCTACCTACCTACCTACCTACCATCTATTTATCTATCTACCATCTATCTATATATCCAACTATCCATTTTCTACCTACCTATCCATCTATCCTCTACCTACCTATCCATCTGTTCATCCATCCATCCACACACATACAAACGTAATCACACATATCTACACATTCAAAAAGCCCAGAGAGAGTTGTTTTAATTAACAACCAAAATAAGTTCCCTATTTGAGGTAGCAATGCCGACCCTAAAAAGGCTGCCGTCGGCCCCCACGCTCCCCGGCTAACCCTGTTCATCCATCCATCCACACACATACAAACGTAATTACATATCTACACATTCAAAAAGCCCAGAGAGGGCATCGCATTTTAATTAACAACCGAAATAACTTCTTCCCTATTTGAGGTAGCAATGCCAACCCTACGAAGGCTGCCATCGGCCCCCACGCTCCCCGGCTAACCTGCCCAGGCCCTCGCCCCCTCCTCAGCTGCCCACACCTATGAGAGCCGTCGAGTAGCCTTGCTTCTTCAGAAGCTTGGCGAACGTGGTCTCACTGGTGGGAAGTCCTCCAGAAGAAGCCGAGAAGATGAACACTCCCACGCGAGACTGTGACGCCATTCCTGGAGCAGGAGAAGTCACACGTTAGGACAGGACAGCCAGCGAGACTGGAATGGGGAAGATGCCCTGGGAGGTCGACGGCCACGGCCACGCAGCCAGGAGCTTACCTGAGCGGATGGGGTAGCGGCCCGTCATGAAGGCCGCCCTGCTCGGCGTGCACAGGGGCGACGCTGCCAGGTGCTGCGTGAGTTTCACGCCCGCGTGGGCCAAGGCGTCAATGTTGGGCGTCCTGGAATGAGAGAACCATGTGACTCTGAGGGCTGCGGAAAGGCATTTCTCTGGGGATTTTCGCAGTGAGTCGGTCACCTCTCGACGGTCCAGGGTACCGGGGGCTGTGCGGGGCTGTGCGGGCTGGGAGACAGGGTAGGAAAGGGAGAGCGGACATGGAGCCAAGACTCAGAATGAGAGACAATAAAACCACACCGAGCTGTCAGTGGCCCAGCTCTGACGTGGGCTCTGCTCCTGTCCACTTAGCCCGGGTTTAGATCAGAGCAGGGGGGTGAGATGCATCAGAGACTCACTCCTTCCCCTCCTGTGTCCTCTCAGTTACGTCTGTGCCCCCAAATGACAAAGCTCTGGGGACAACTTGACTCTCTCTTCCAACCACATCCGACGGGAGGCCGCTAACTAGCTGTCAGCACCTCCTGCGTAATTTCCGCTGCCTCCGCGGAGGAGAGAATAATGGGACCCCACGTGTAGTTACCCGTGAACGTCAACAAATGGGTTGCCAGGTCCAGGGAGGAGGGACGCACCGCAGTGTCAAAAGGCAACACGCTGTGAGTCCCTGGCACGCTTTGTGGGCTTGCGGTTTTCTGCTTAGTACGTGCTTACGGGATCGCTTCTAGGAAGACATGTCATGCAAGGGAAGCATCCTTGCGCCTGGTCTCCAGAATGCTCTGGCCCCGCATCTTAGGCGGGCACTGCAGATCTAGGCATTCAGGACTGAGTGCGTCCCAGACAGCGGCCCACGCCGAGCTCTTATCCCAGATCCTCCCCCGGGAGCCCTGGTCCCTGCCGGCCCGCCTGTCTGCCTATTTTCCATCCTTCAGTTCCAGGCATACATGCGGTTCTTGGGGTCCACTTGTGGCCTCCTTTGTCATATGGCAGGGGACCATCCCACGTGTAGGACATCGAGCTCTGCTCCCTGCTGGCAATAGCTCCCTTGCCATAAAGAGACGACATGGCTCTTTGGGCTGCCCTCCAACACGGCGGCGGCCTGTGGGGGGGCGGGGAGCACACGTGTGTGCTGCTCATCTTTGGGGGGCCCCCCGCCTCCCTGGCCCAG